ACCGCCAATCCAAACTGTATGCTAATTGTCAATCATCTTTGACGATAGTGGTCCTGACAGAATTTGCTTTGAATAGGCAGCCATTACATCTGTTATGCTAAAATTTTACTTTGACAAGCCAAAAAAAAAATTACATTTTTAAAGTAAATGGGTGCCTTCCACTCCTCCCATGTGTTTTCAGTCTGGCAGAAATGGTTGGTGGTTCCAAAATACAAGGTCACATGACCGTAAAAGTGTATAGTTGCCAAGATACAGGGGGTGGGTCAACTTACCCACCGGCTCAACTTACCCAATCTGCCCTATTTTTTGACTGTACAATGGAAGTGAAAATGTTTGGCTACCAACATTCTTCAAAATACTTTCTTTTGTGTTTCACGAGTTTGGAGTTTGGAACGACATGAGGGTACATAAACAATGAGAGAATTTTCATTGTTTTTGGCGGACTATACCTTTAAATAAAATAATATCATTATATATATATATATATATCTCAGTGGTGAAGTCATTATTAACTAGGACCTTATACCTATTCTCCTTTTCTGGACCAATTTAAGAAAGATGTTAATTTGACAAACTTCAAATAACATGATAGTTCAACAATTTCAGACAATTTTAACAATTTCCCACATTTACATGTCCAGCCTCCCCTCCCCCATAACATATAATAATAATAATAATAATAATAAGGAATTTGGTGTTTCGGAGAAAACAGCAAGGAGACTACCTTACCATTTTAATAATTTTATAAACTAAAAAGTGATGAAGTTCGTCATCATCTCTGCGGTGGACGCGCAATATAGCCTACATTTCATATGGATTACATAATCGGAGAATATTTGTTTTCTATTTGAATTGGTTCATTATTAAAACATTTTGCGTTCAATATATATATTTCTCATGTCTGTGAAGCAACGGAGTTTCAGTTCATTTTTGACCCACTAAAGTTCACCGGGACTGAGACAGCAGAAATAATATCCTGTTTGGTTTCATTATTTTACAGCGCACGTTTTTTTGTTATTGTGAGTGTACACAAACAAATGTAGACCCTTAACAGATTCGAACAATGTAATTATTCTTGTCTGTATGACCAAAAATGCCGGAGTATTTTAAATTCAAGTGATCGCTCCGGCGCCTCCATGTTAACTGTCATGCAGTATAAGCGCGCTGCTATTCAGCTTCTACACTCTGCAAAAACACTGTGTTGCATTCCTCCTGCCTGTTTCTCTGTTGTATTCCTCACCGGTAAGTTGCTATGGATAAAGTGTCTGCTAAATAAATAAATGTAAATATAGGCCTAAATGATAATGTATATAAATAAAAACTTGAGGTTGATGCGTAAGACGCTGAAAAGGCAGCATCATATTGGACAAAAATGTCCGTGTTGAGCATACACATAAAAAAAGTCTGGGTGTGGAACAACAAAACGCATGCTGTGTGACATGGCTCTTATGTTTAAAATGGATTGGGGTGTCTGACTTCCAAATGTGCTTTGTAATAAATAATTCTGCGGGGAATTTAAATAAGCAGCAAATTGGTTGATGCTTCCAGCAAGTTCAAGTCCAGTCAGTGCTGTTCAGTGTTCAGTTTCACATACGCCAAGCGACTATCCAATCCGCACTACACATTGCTTCATTTTAAATGGTACAACCTGGGCAGGACTTAGGGGGGCGGGGGCCCCTGGGCTTGAGGTTATGTTTGGGCCCTATACCTACACTACAAATGCCCTCAAATAGAACATCATTATGGAGTAACACAAAATACACAAACATATGCTTTGAGGTTCATAAATAGTCTAGGCTATAGTCAAAGTTTAAATGTAATATTAAATATTCATTATAATATAATAAACAGGATGTGTTCTCTCAGTTGAGAGATCAAAACCCTGAAATAACATGAAATAATAAAAAAAAGCCAGAGATGTTGGCTTATTAGTATTATAAAAGTTATTGTCATATCTGTGTCCTCTTATGTCAGGTTCTTATTTAATCAATAAATTCAATCGAATAAAAAGACATGCTGGCTATTAACAATCAAATGAAATCACTATCAACAAATTTCATAGATGGATTGTGCATAAATGTTAAGTTTAAATATAACATTTTAATGTAGAAATATTAAATGATTGCAAAAATGAAATAAGCTACTTTTTTAAATATGAAACTAAAACCGCCAGTAGGTGGCAGTAAGTGACTGTCTTAATGAGTGAGTTGAATCAACCAATTCGTTTAAAAAGCTGATTCATTTAACTTTGCAAACAACTGTACTTATAGCCTGATTGAATCATTTGCTGGTCCATGTAACGCTGATGTTCGGAGACACAGCGGTTCTGCTGTTTGTTCTATTTTCTTTTTGACGGCGCAAAACGGAATTTTAAATATGAAACTACAACTGCCAGTAGGTGGCAGCAAGTGACTGTCTTAATGAGTGAGTTGAATCAACCAATTCGTTTAAAAAGCTGATTCATTTAACTTTGCAAACAACTGTACTTATAGCCTGATTGAATCATTTGCTGGTCCATGTAACGCTGATGTTCGGAGACACAGCGGTTCTGCTGTTTGTTCTATTTTCTTTTTGACGGCGCAAAACGGAATTTTGTGTCTGAAAGTTACTCTGTAAGTTGTTGTTTATTGTACATTTGCGATCGTGCAGATATTCGAAAAAAAATAAATAATCAGGACTGTTGTTTGTGTCATAGGCTAAGTCCTATATCATAGACATAGCTATGTTATAAAAACAGAAACTCATTAAATTGCTATTTTTTATTTAAAATCATTTTGATGACATTTCTTCCCCACTATGTGTAATGGCAGTAAGACGAGAGAGAGCGCACAAAACTAATAAGATGATCACATAATTTAGTGGAACATTAATATAGTGATATATAATCATCTTCTGTAAAGAAATGAGGTGTGAACATTTGAGAATTTATCATTATCTTTCTAAATGTGCGCTCTTTGGGGCTAAGGCTTAATGGAGTGTTTAAAGTAGCCATGTCATAACAAACCAATCGGTGCAGACGAGATTCAATGCGTGCGTCCTTCTTCTATGTGAAATAATCATAAATACCAGTTTATGCTGTTTGACTGTGGCCTCAAAGGTCGTAGTTGTAAGCTGTAACCCCGGCTGGCCCGTTTAGATCTTGCGCAGTGGAAATGCGGCTAATAATTTCTGAATTCTGACTGGCATATAACGAACAAATCAAACAAACGTAAACGGGCAAAGGCGGGGCCCCCGACAAGGCGGGTCCCATTGGCTGCAGCCCACTCAAGCCCAATGGTAAGTCCGGCCATGGGTACAACCAATCCTTTTCGAGGATCGGTCAATTAAGGGGCCAATCATTTGTAAGGATTTTAACGCAGGCAGTTCTGGACAAAAAGTGTTCTAAGAGAGAACGAAATTAGCCCCTAAATATATAAAAAATCAGTCCTCATTGTCACGCCCCTGGACTGTCTGAGTGTGTTTTTGCTCCTCTCTTTATCGCACCCTCCGTACATATATTCTATCTGCCTTGCTTGTCTTAGGGGCCATTCACATAGGATAAGTTCTTGCTGTGTATACATACATTAGACGGACGTCTTTGACTGTTGTGACGCATCAGGATTGAGGATGGGCCACGGGCTGCTGAACTTTTTATATTAATTGATCTTGTTCCACCATTTTTTATGCCTTGCAATCTTAAATGTTTGGTTTTCTGTTATGTATTCTACATTGTCTACATTGCAAATTGTGATTTGTCTCCAAGATAATGTTTTCAAGCTGGCTAACACAGATGAAGTTTTGTTGAAATTGCAAAAATAATTTGCGATAATCTTGGAAGCATAAGTAAGAAAGTTTTGTTGAAAACCACAAACCAATCTGTAATGTTTTCCATCGGATGCCATAATTTTGATTTAAGTGTGATTTATGAATGTATGGAGTGACATTATAACTGTATAATTTTAACACCTAATTTAATGAGAAATATAAGAATTTCTAGCAAATATATACACTACCATTCAAAAAGTTTGGGGTTCATAAGAATTCCAAACAACTAGATTGTTATGGCAAATATATATACATAAATACATTTATTGATTTTTGAAAGAAGTCTCTTATGCTCACTAGGCTGCATTTACTTTATGAAGAACACAGTGAAAACAGTAATATTGTTAAATATTGTTACAGTTTAAATATAAGTCTTTTCTATTATAATGCATTTTAAAATGTCATTTATTCTTGTGATGGCAAAGCTGAATTTTCAAGAGCCATTACTTCAGTCTTCAGTGTCACATGATCCTTCAGAAATATGTGGTGAGGCCAATAAAAATGTTGACAAGGCAACTAAAAATTAGAATTAATTTCTAGTAAGAAGGATCACACATACTATTAATTACACACCTTTAGTGCTCTTTTACAGATAGTTTTGAGCACTGTGAGTTGTGGAGATCCGTCACCCCCTTGTGTTTTTAACAAGCAGAAAAGAGTAAGACATAAAAGAGAAGAAGGAAGAGAAAGTCCACAGAAAGGTCGCAGTGCAATGGGGTGAGTGATCTTCCAGTCCAATGGCTGCAGCCTCTCCTAGGGGTTGAGTTTCTGTGCCACACCAACTTATCGAGAAGAGATCACATCATACTCAGTAACTGAGCCCATTCCCTTCCTAATAATCAATCTCCAAGCGCATCAGCACCGCTATCCCGTGTCACTCCCAGAGCATGTCTGCCGCATCAACTCTCCCACGGGCTGATCCAATATCCCTATCTGAACCCTCACAGGATCGCACATGGCACCAAGAAACCAAGGTCACCCAGCTAGGACACATCAGCTGAAACCTAAAACCTTCTCTTTTTTAACCTCCTTCAGTTCTCTCTGAACTCTTGTTTCTTCAGCTTTGATTGTTCTGTTGCTTCGCTACTAAATACGACAAGCTACCAAACCCACAGTGGGAACAGACAACAACATTTTTTTATTCAATAACCATTCAACCATGCTGAATTATAACTTGACAAAAACTGTTAGCTTACCGCTAGTGTCAGCTGTTCCTTCTTTCACAACAGGGATGCAGTTCTCCAAGTAACATCCATTGGTGTCTTTGTCCGGCGGGGGCTGGTCCCAACATTGGCATGGTGTCTGCATGATGCCACAGGGCCGGCTGGAGGTACTGTAGGTCAGGCAGTCCTCCAACCATTGGCACAGCATTTGACAGGCAGCCATGCTGGGGTTACGCTTCCCAACCACGAGATACTCCACCTTAAATTCCCCATCACCATTCCTGGACCCGGCACCCGCTCTGGGCAGCCCTTTCCGGATCTGCAGGAATTGTTTTCCAGCTTCCAGGAAGGCAACGTGGGTAGAGGCTTCACACAGCTTCACCACCTCGTCGAAGCTCTCCATCCCGAGAAAGGTTCGTGTCGTCTCCAAGAAGGAGTCAAACTGGAAGGTCCGGTGCTGTCTGGAAATGCAGTCTCTGGTTGGTTTTGTGACCTTGATGAAGATGGTGTAGCGCCGTGGGTCGGGGTTCTGCAGGGTCCAGGAGCAGGGTGTGCTAGGAAATACAGAGGACGAGAGGAAGAATCCAAAGAAGCGGCTCTGGACCAGTGTGGAGCAGATGTCAGACTCCGGACCAGAGGGGGCAGCGTTGAGCATGTCCAGCCACAACAGTTGAAGAAGAGGGAAAAGTAGGACCAGCGATAAACAATTCCGGAAGAATTTTGATATCATGGCTGTAAACGGCAGAACAGTGTGCAGAAAAGTGTGAGGCTGAAGATATCTCTTATTGGGCACCTTTTCTTGTTAATGTAAGATCAACAGCCTCGTTTTGTTAACTAGCTGATATTCTCAGATGTTTGCAGAACCGTCTGAACCGACAGCTCAGGATGAGAGGGAACTTTGGCTCAATGATCTAGTCTGCTGTCCATGATGCCAGACGCCCTCACAGAGATCTGCAGGATTAGAGAAGACAGAAAAAAGGTTGTATTAGCCAGATAGGAAAACAACAGCAATTTTCCATTGACCAGATAAGAGTGAACATAATAACTTCAAGTGTGTAGACACCGACACAACTGACTTTGGTACTTAGAAATTACCACGCTGGGCTATATCGATCGAGAAGTGCTGCACCTGTGCTTCACATTCAAAAAGAACTCTTTGTTCCCTGTGAAGCAGTCACTTTCTGCAAAAACGTCACCCTCAATCTTGTATTTCATCAGTGAGCTCAATAACTTGTCCAATTATGGGGCAATCAATTACAAAAATATGAACACCTGCTGTCATTCATTATTTTCAGTGCATTTGCTTCATGCCAAAATGATCAATAGCCTCAGCCCTCTGCGAATCATTAGGCTAAAAGCGGCTGTATCATCTCTCAGACGGGCCTGATTGTCATTTTTTTCCCTGACAATTCAGTGTCTCGTGTAGTTTTACAGCACTTAAAGATAAGAAATATGTGAGGTCACGTGCAAGAGCAGTAGACAGACATCTTGGAGACTATTCTTATGTAATCGCAACTTTTCCATGTGCCATTAGTCACTTTACAAAGTGAGTGTCCTGGCACCAGGCTCACCCTGAAAGCCATATACCATACAGAAAGATACAATGCAGATTTTATTTTAGGTTAATCATCCTTATCTAAAGGCATTAGCTTTGTTCCTTATATTCAGCGTGCTAAGAAATCAGACGAACCCAGACAGGGGAAAAAAAGTGCCATAAAGGTTCTAAATATGCCTAAATACTGGTGGATTCTGGAAATGGATGAAGAAAAACGGGACGCTTCATTCACATGAAATGATGTGATATTTAAAATAATCATTACTACTTTAATATGTGTAATGAAACTGTTCAGCAATCTTAGTACGCTCCTTCCTCTCGGTATTATTAATAAATACAGCAGTCGCTATCAGCGTATATAGCAGGGTATTGTTGGAGATTAGGAGTTTCCACAAAGATACTGGATAATGCTGTTATGAATGCGTGTGGGTGAGATCGATCTGTGTGTCTATGAGAGTGTGCATTCTTTAGAAAAAGAATGAAACAACAGATGTGTGAGTATGTGTGTATTTCAACCACAGCACTGAATGCAGTTTTGTGAATGTGCAAGATTCAGTGTTAATTTTTGCACCCTATTTTGTTTTAGTCATACTTTTTGTCTTTTGATGAAAGAAGTCAATATTTTGTCATGCTATATTCATCCATTTTAGTCCATTTTACTTTGACTGAAATGGCATATAATTTTAGTCCACTGAAATAATTTTGAATGAGCTAAAATACCCGTTAGCAAAGTGGTTCATTTAACCATGTTCAGCTTTTGCAGCTCAAGCAGGGCGATCACAACCATTCAATGCTTGGATTATTTTAATTCTTTACATTTTTCTTCTCTTAAAACTTACTTTGTGTGTTGTTCTTATCTTGCAGCATGTTTCCTATAGAACATTGCTGTTATGTATACTAAAACATACAATACCGTACATTGTTATGATCACCCAGTAATTATTAATATTCATTCAAATTTCATAAACCTGTTTCATAAACATTTCATATCACTTGAATAATGTTAATTTGCTGTTCAGTAAGTGAGTCAGATTCAGTAATCATTCTGGGGTGCGTTTCCCAAAACAAAAGCATTGTTAGCTAACTATGGTTGCAAGTTCCATTGAACTCTATTGGTAACAATGAAACTTGCGACCAGTTACTTTTGGGAAACGCACCTCTGATTTATTCAGTAAGGTCATTTAGTGAAACATTTGTCAGACTGATTCAAGCCAGTCTATCTTTAAAACAATGATTCATCTTTTTGATCGATTCTTTAAAAGTACCTAGTAATTTGCTTGTGAATTGGTTAATAGGAGTAATTTGTTTTTCAATCGGACTACATGAGAACTCAACACAGAGGTTCCCCTTCAGGAACTCGAGCTGCGTCGAAGTCGCTTTGGGAACGCCCTTGCGTGACCGCGTTCTGAAGCATGTGTCAAATCAGTCCAATGGAGTAGCGAGACGTCACGAGCGGGGTGACGTAAGCACCAGAAAGTATAAAAGCGCATCCGGCAGAGCGCAAACCAGCTTCTGCTCTTCAGTAGCGCTCTGTGTATGTGTCTGTCTATTTACTGTTGTCTGTCCGCACAAGCATATATAAAAAACAATCATGAAAAAGTCTATGGCAAGCGAACGGCATTACAAACGCTGTGTTCCTCCCTGCCCGCTAGATCCGCGGCTCTCTCTCAGTGTTCGGAAGCCCGCGCTGCGGTTTCTTCCCAGCCCCCCCAGAGAGAGAGAGCCAGACGCTTCATCTATTTTCCTCCGAGGAGGTGGATGTGATGAATGTCGAGACAGAGGAGACTGTGGACTCGCCACCACAGTCCCTCGCG